TACGATGCCCAGCAACAACTGCCCCGAACCGACAGAGGCTGCTGTTGGACAGGCGGCCGTCTGTCTCAAATGGCCCAAACCCGCGGCGGCACCGACAACGACTCTGGCTCAAAATCAACCGGAAATGCTGGTCGGGGGCGCGCGAACATGGATCTGGCGCGCGGTCGCCAAATCCATGGATCAGGGGAGGTGCCCTCCCACAATGCGGCCGGCGCCGCCTCACTCGGCGGCGGAAATCCGCGATGTCCCATGGAAACGGGACCCGTCGCTAATCCACGCCCCCTCGATCCATGCTTGCGATCGCCCGACCTGGGACCTCCCGTGACGGATAGCTGATGGGACAGTGCTCCACACTACCGTACCTCCTCCTCCTCCTCCTCCTCCTCCTCCTCCTCCTCCTCCTCCTCCCCCTCCTCCCCTTGATCCATGCTTGCGGCCCCCTGAGCTGATCGCCCCGATCCCTGCGCCCGTCTCCCCCCAGGGGAGGCGGCTCCTCGGAGGGGCGCCCCTCGCTGAGCCCGTAGCCGCAGTAGTCGTACGCCAGCACGTCCGCGGCGCAGAGCTGCGACCTCGGGTGCCGGGCCCCGGGGGCCCGCCGCCAAGCACTCCACGGGCCTCCCCAGCGGTGCGCTCTGACCAGGGCTTCGAGGCGAATCCAGGCGTGGCGGCGAGGGAGCTGCAGCGGCATCGGTACCAGGAGGAGGAGGCGGAGGAGGAGGAGGAGGAGGCGGAGGCGGAGGAGGAGGAGGCGGAGGAGGAGGAGGAGGAGAACTCTGACAGGGCCCGCGCGCAGGAGGGGCCTCCAGAGGGAGAGGGCCAGCTCGAGGCGGCGGCGGCGGCCCTCGGTGGCGCTGCCTGGCGTCGTCTTCCTCGCGTGGTTGAAGGGGGGGCCGCTGGAGGCTCCTCGTCGCGGCGGTGTGGGGCCGCGGGAGGACGGGGCCGCTGGAGGATGGTGCCGCTGGAGGCTGGCGCCCCTGGAGGCTGGTGTCGCCACGGTGTGAGGCTCTTTGAGTGGAGAGGGGGCCGCTGGAGGACGGTGTCGCCAAGGTGTGAGGCTCTTTGGGTGGAGAGGGGGCCGCTGGAGGACGGTGTAGCCAAGGTGTGAGGCTCTTTGGGTTGACAGGGGGCCCCTGGAGGCTGGTGTCGCCAAGGTGTGAGGCTCTTTGGGTGGAGAGGCGGCCGCTGGAGGACGGTGGCGGCCCTCCTCCGCCTCAGCATGGTGCCTGGGCAGACGCTGGCGGCCTGCTCGGCACAGGCCTAAAAACACCCAGGTGCCTCTGGCTGCCGCGTCGCCACGGCTGGATTCCGCAGGAGGAGTCGGTGGACCGATTCTGAGCGGGTGTTGGCAGGGTGGGAGAGCCGCCGCCGTCTCAAGGGACCCTCGTCCAGAAGCCGCCCTCCGACGGCCCTTCGGGGCGTCCTCGGTGCCCTCCACCGTGCTGCCGTGAGGGGCGCCAGCGACTTGTACGGAGCGAGAGGGGGGCCTGTTCTGAGAAACGGCCCGAGGAGCGGCCCGAGAACCAGAGACTCCCCCCCCAAGCCCGGAGCGCTCCGCACTCCAACGACCTGACCGTGCGAAACGCTGGGCCCACGAGATGCCAGGCCGACGCAGCACCACGCTCCCGCTCCAGTCGCAAACGAAGCGCGCCCGCTCCTCCACATCACTAGAGGCCTCCCACATAGGGTCCGAGTAGATGGGGTCGGAGGATCGCGCCGCATCGCCGATGCATCGGCGATGCGGCGCGATCCTCCGACCCCATCTGCTCCGACCCCAACACGGAGGCCTAGAACCTCGGGGATCTACTGGCCCGGGTCAATCCACACCCGGGTCTGCCGGGCTTTTTCAGGATCATCCTGCAAGATCTTGCAGGATCATGCGCACCAGCCCGGGTCAGTGCAACCCAGGCTCTGCAAGATCCTGCAAGATCGGGAGCTCTGTCGGACCCCGGTTTGCTTTGATCGTCATTTGGTGACGTGCCAGGCCGACGAGGCCGTCCTCCACTCGTCGCTGCACTGCGCCTCGTGCCGCAGGGCCTTCGGCGCGCGGCGGGGTGTCCGCGGCGGGTGTCGACTCGTGGCTGCCTGCGGATGCGGCGCCCTCCTCCCGGCGCTTACTGTGGAACTCGGAGTTCAAGCGGGACGCTATTCGACCCCCCATCCTCCGTCTCCCTCCCTCCCTCCCTCCTTCCCTCCCTCCCTGGGAGGGTATCCGAACTCTTCCCTTCCTGCTGCTGCTGCTGCTGCTCCTCCTGCTCCATATCACCCGCATCTTCGTCCGCACTCCTGACCCCCGTATATCCCCATCCCGACCCTCATCATTATCCGCATTCTCGTGGTCCTCATCCTCGTCCTCATCCTCCTTCGCGTCTTCGCCTTCCTTTGCCATGAAAGAGATCTGTCCTGAGAGAAACGGGTCCTGGAGGCCCGGGGTGCTTTCCCAGTGACCAGCTCTCCATCCCGAATCGTTTCCGTTGAGTGGCCTACAGGGAGGGCCGCAAATGGAGAGCCACACCCAGGCCCCCTTTCTTCATGGCGATTTGCAAAGGCACGTTAATGAAGCGGGGGCTAGCTCAGGGGAAGGGGTCATTTCACCGGCCTGGCAGACGTGCTGCAGCGGATTGTTGCTGGGATGTCTGTCAATGCAAAACCCCGAAACGGCGAGTGTGGAGCGTCTGCGTGGAGCTGCGTGGAAACCCCTGCTGGGATTACTCACTGCGTGGAGCTCCCCATATGTGCATCTCATGTTTTATGTCATGCCGTGGTGAGCGTCTGTTCATGAGCGGTCGACTACACTTGCGCGTCCACGTGGGCGACAAGGCCGACGAAGACGAGTGACCCCTAATGCGAGTGATTGCGTATGAGTCAGAGTGAGTTTTGAGTATGGTTGAATGCGAGCCTCTTCCTCTTCATCCCCCCTCCTCAGCTGCCAGGCCTTCCCCTTTTCAGCCCGTGGTAGCTTTGGAGCTTAGTTGGCAGTGGGATATGTAAGACGAGCGTTTGGCCACACAAGGCCATAAGTGCATGTCATCTTGGAGGATAGTGCCACGGTGAGCATTTCCAACGATCCCCGCACACAACCACCGCCCCCCCCCTCGCAGTCACCCCCTATGAATACATATATATATATATATATATGTCCTGGACTTCGGAACAAACGTTCTGCTCGCGTCAAGGACCTTCGAGCAAAGCGCCCTCCTCCTCCTCCTCCTGTTCCTCCGCCCCCTCCCTTCTCCTGCTCCTGCTCCTCCTCCTCATCCTCCTGCTCCCCCTCCCCCTCCGCACCCCCATGCCCTTCCTCACGATCCCCCGCCTCCTCCTCCTCCTCCTGTTCCTCCTCCTCATCCTCGTTCCTGTCATTTCCCTCCCTGTTGAGCCCAGAAACAAGCGAACCGCCTGAGACATCCCCACAATATGGCCGCGAACGTGCCCGTGCAACCACCCCTGGCGGCTCCCCATAGGGGTGCTGCAACCAGCGCCCCGCTTGAGACATCGTCACAATCTGCTCTCCAAGCGAAGGATGTTGAGCCCAGAAACAAGCAAACCGCCTGAGACATCCCCACAAATGGCCGCGAACGAGCCCGTGCAAACACCCCTGGCGGCTCCCCTTAGGGGTGCTGAAACCAGCGCCCCGCCTGAGACATCCTCACAATCTGCTCTCCAAGCGAAGGATGTTGAGCCCAGAAACAAGCAAACCGCCTGAGACATCCCCACAAAATGGCCGCGAACGAGCCCGTGCAACCACCCCTGGCGGCTCCCCTTAGGGGTGCTGAAACCAGCGCCCCGCCTGAGACATCCTCACAATCTGCTCTCCAAGCGAAGGATGTTGAGCCCAGAAACAAGCAAACCGCCTGAGACATCCCCACAACATGGGCGGCCCCCCTTAGGGGTGCTGAAACCAGCGCCCCGCTTGAGACATCCTCCAATCTGATGTGTGTTGAGTAAGTCTGAGTATGAGTAGGTCTGAGTATGAGTATGCCTGAGTATGAGTAAGTCTGTGTATGAGTAAGTCTGTGTATGAGTAAGTCTGGGTATGAGTAGGTCTGTGTATGAGAAAGTATGTGTATGTGTACGTCTGGGTATGAGTAAGTCTAAGTATGAGTAATACTGTGTATGAATAAGTCTGGGTATGAGTAAGTCTGTGTATGAGTACGTCTGGGTGTGAGTAAGTCTGTATATGAGTAAGTCTGTGTATGAGTATGTCTGAGTGTGAGTAAGTCTGAGTATGAGTAGGTCTGAGTATGAGTAAGTCTGAGTATGAGTAAGTCTGAGTATGAGTAGGTCTGAGTATGAGGAAAGAGGAGGAGGGGAGGAGGAAACTGGAGGAGGGAGAGGCAGTAGGAGGCGTCCAAATAATAACAAGAACCCCATCTTAGGATATTGGGAACTAAGTCTTCATTCCTGGCCAACAAAAAATCAACACGAAATTCACCTCGAAATCCAGACCGAAATTCTCCGGGACACTCCGGGCCAGTCCGATCGTTTTCCGAAAGAAAACCGCTCTGCGAGGTTGGCGCCATGAGAAGGGGGGCATCGAGCTGGAATCTCTCCGGCGCCAGGTCTCCGAGAGCGAATCCGCACGCTGCAGGCAAGGCCGCGTGGGCCATCCGGCCCCTTCAGGCGATTCATGGGCGATTGGGGGTGTCTCGGGAAAATCGAGCCGCCGTACGGCTGGGTCCTTCCACCTCCTTCTCCGCCTCCTCACTCTCATCCGTCAAGGATCGCGCTTTCTCCTGCCGATTGCGAGATCGGGGGCGACCGCCAGGTCGGGGCCGGCCGAGCCCTCGGCATAAGGTCGAGGTAGGGCAGTCGCTGACCTGCCGACGGTGAGGCTGAGAGGGGGGAGATGCGGGACAGAAGGGCTAGAGGGGCGAGAGGGGACATCGGGGAGGGCGGAGGAGCGAGGAGGGCGGTGGAGGACGGAATGCGGAGGACACTTGAGGACAGCCGACGAGGGCCGACGAGGGCGGAGAACAGCGGCGGAACGCGGAAGGCGTGGATGAGAGCCGAACGAGGAACGAGCGGGGCCTGGCGGAGTGCGGGGGGGGACGCAGAGGAAGGGGCGGACGGCGAGGACGGCAGGGACGATGCGCACTGCGCCTCCCTGCGCCTCGCTGCGCCTACAGCGCGCGGCGGCTCCGCTCAGGGACCGCTCGCTGTCACTCGCCGCCGGTGATCCAGGCCACGCGCTGGAAGAGGGCCCAGATGATCGGACGTGGACGGCGGCGGTCCAGCATCGTGGCGAAGCGGTCCCCCGCCTGCTCTTCCAGCGGCCCTGCGGGGCGGCGCGGGCCCAGGGACGCCTGCGACTCGACCATCTGCTCCGGGCACCAGCAGCCGCTCACGTACGGGCTCGTGTGATCCTCTGGGCTCCACGGTAGAACGGCATTCAGAATATGTTGGTGCTGAGGTCGAACACGGAACAAATCATGTACGACCAGAAACAATCGGCCCAAACATGGTCGTTTAGACCAGGCGAGAAAAAAAGCACACAGCTCGCCCCTTGACCACTGGACAGCCCACAAGCCAAGGCACGAATCCATGTACAAACACATCTTCACGCCAAATCCCTCCCACCCGCACATGAAACTGCCACCGTGACGTCACCACCCCTTGGCAGACTTGTCAACGACCCCCTGCAACTGAAACCGCCATTTCCCCGTCTGCAGACAACATTGCCACTGATAGATCCCCACCCTCGGGTGAAACTGCAAACAGCCTCTCCTCAATCCCGCTAGCCTTGCTGCTTTGTGCTGCGGGCCTTTTCGGCGTGAGATAACGTCGGGAAAGCTTCAGAGAGCCCAAGGTTCCCCCCCCCCTCCAAAAAAAAACTGCTCAAAACTGCCCAAGAGAGCCCGCAGATAGCCCCAGGACTACCCGAGAACAGTAAGATTCAGCCCCAGAAGGCTGCAACACCGAGGAAACGAGGTCGAATTTGAGACCTATGCGAGTTCATTCTGCGAGCTGACGTATCAACCTCTTTCACGCTACGCTGCTGCGCCGACACGCTGGCGGAATTTGGTGTAGGCAACTGGAGAACACACCATCGAACTGCAACCAGACTATCATCGTCCGTCGGCCAAACCTGTCAACTCACTACCCTCACCCCGATGGCCAAAACTGCCGCCTGACGACCCTGGGCGAATCAGTCAGTCAGTCAGCAGTCAGTCGGCTAATCGGCAAACATCCTTGTGTAACACATTAACTAAGGGCTGCACCAGTAAGCAGAAACCACGTTTGGGTGGACCTCACGTGGTCCTCCAGGACGGCGAGTCAGTCAGTCCGTCAGCCGGCCAATCTGGAAACATCCTTGTGCAACAAATCACGGGCTGCACCTGTGAGCAGGAACGGCGTTTGGGTAGACCTCGGGTGGTCCTCCACGACCAGCCCTCGATGGACTCCAGCTCCTGCGGGTGCGTGAATAGTCAGTGGGCTGCCGCACATCGTAGAGTAAACCACGCTGGGCCGATCGCCTTCTTCTCCTCCTCCTCCTCCTCCTCCTCCTCCTCCTCGTCTGCGATCTTCTCCTCTTCGATACCCCTCCTCCTCCTCCTCATCCTCCTCCTCCTCCCCCTCGATTATCCACGCGGGCCGGCCCATGTGGGCACGCGGTGGCTACTCTAACCTGCCGAGAGGCGCCACGCCAGGGAGGGGGTGGGTGGAGCTTTACGGCAGTGCCCTCGATCGGTTGCGGTTGCCGACCATACTTCGCGCCGAGTTGGGCTCTTGGTTTGAACCCGCATCGCCCCGCGCCTTCCCTGCCTCCTCCTCCTCCTCCTCCTCCTCCTCCTCCTCATCTCCTCCTCCTCCTCCTCCTCCTCCTCCTCCTCCTCCTCCTCCTCCTCATCTCCTCCCACCCCACTTCCCCCCCTCCTGCCCAACTTTCCTTGCCTCTGCCCTTCGCCTCCGCCCCCCTTCGGTGCATCCCTCCGAAGCTTCGTGACCCCACAAGGAGCTCCGCGGAGCGCCCTAGTGGCGGCGTGCGCATGCCGCCCCGCAGCCAATGCCGGCACAGCCCTCACGCGTGTCGTGGACACAAGTGAAGCTCCACCGAGGGCCCCAATGTCGAGGACGGCGAGAAGGTCTGGTTCATGACGGGTGAGTTCGACGGCTGCTGTGGCGCCTCAGGTCGTGCTGGAGTGCCTAAGGTCGGGCTGGAGGGACCTCGAGTCCAGCGAAACCAACCTTTTCCAACGAACCCTTCTTGCAGCCTCCGACAATTGCAGTGTACGCATGCCACCCCGCCCGTGCTGGCACACCCCTCGCACGCTTCGTAGCCCTACTGTGCCGTGATGAAAGATTGCCCCATTTTGACGGGTCGGAAGAAGTGCATCCTTCGTCCGCAATGCGAGCACACGTCTGTGCCGCCATGACATATTGCCCCATTTTGACGGGTCGGCAGAAGTGCATCCTGCGTCCGCAATGCGAACGCACGTCTGTGCCGTGATGACAAGTTGCCCCGTTTTGACGGGTCGGCAAAAGTGCATCCTGCGTCCGCAATGTGAGCGCACGTCGCTAGTCACCCCGCTAGGGACGTGGAGCCTGGTACAATGTTACGGGGAAGTGCCTCGCTTTCGGGGCGGAGTTCGAACCTGGGCTGTCGGGGCGCGGTTCGAACCTGGATTTGGTTCCTTAAATTAAAATTTTATTACGCCAAACGGGATGGCGGTTCGAAAACGGCAAACCGCGTGGGACATCCTCACAAAATTGGCTCTCAAGACGGTTCGAACTCGGTTCGAAACAATAGAATGCGGTGCGAAACAAAAGCAGAATGAGCGTTTCGCGTGGGGCTTCCCTCAAAATACGGCGTTGGACCCAGTTCGAAACAAAAGAATGGCGGTTCGAAAACGGCAAACCGCGCGGGACATCCTCACAAAATCTGCTGTCCTGATGGTTCGAACTCGGTTCGAAAGAAAGGGATGGCGGTTCGAAAACGGCAAACCGCGTGGGACATCCTCACACAAATTCTTGTCCCCACGGTTCCTACTCGGTTCGAAAGAAAGGGATGGCGGTTCGAAAACGGCAAACCGCGTGGGACACCCTCACAAAAATGGTTGTTCTGACGGTTCCACGTCGGTTCGAAACAATAGCATCGATTTCCAAACGGTTGGAAAACGAGCGTTTCGCTTGAGACTTCCTTCAAAATACGTTTGAAGCCCAACGGTCGCGTCGACGACGACGACGACGACGACGACGACGACAATGACGACGACGACGACGACGACGACGGCGGTTACGACGTTTGCATGCGCTCTCGCCCGAATGCCGGCCACTCCTTAGTTCTCGCCTCACCGCCGGCCAGTGTCTCGGTCTGGCCGACCGCTCTCTGGGGTGGCGCCCGGAGAGGCCCCCGGTGCGGCGCTGGCCCCCTTCCGGAGGGGGGGACGTGCCAGGGGGAGACACCCGCCCCCCCCTTTCAAGGGGGGGACCCCTTGGGGGGAGATACTGCTGTCACCCCCAAACAGGCACATTTTTGAAAAGGACCCGCCCGTTTGGGCTGCTTCTGCTTGGGCCGGCTGATCTACACCATTTCCTATTGGAAAACCAATATGTTTTCCACTAGTTTTCCGGGTTCCGGCCTTTTCTGAAAAATCGTGTTTTTTTGTCCCGACCCCACCCCGGAGGCCGAATCCAACAGGGAAAGCACGACTCATCCGCCCGTTTGGGCTGCTTTTGCTTGGGCCGCCTGATGCACCCCATTTCCTATTGGAAAACCCGTATGTTAGGAAGAGGGAGGATGAGGAAGAGGGAGGAAGACAGGAGGAGGAAGGAGGGAGGAGGGGAAGGGAGTGGGAGGAGGAGGAAGAGGAGGGAAATGATGAGGACGAGGAGGACGAGGAGTAGGACAGGCGCCGAAGGTTTCGGTGGGGATCGTTCGAAGTATGATATTGTCTGGGCCAAGTGGTTTTTTAGGGTTTGACCCCAGCTCCGAAGGCCCAATCCAACAGTCAAAACACGACCTTCTAGCAGTAAATGCGAGCGTGATCGCAACAGTCTCGATTGCTATCGTAAGTCCAATGCAAATTCGTCCAGGTCGTCCTCGCTGCAACTTTCGGGGCAAGTTGGGGGGAGGAGGGGTGGAAGGATGAGGGAGGAGCTTGCATCGATCAACTTTCAGGCTTTATTGATATTGTTGTGCTCTGCGTACTTGAGCTGCTTGTCAGCAGTGGTGTTCACTGGCAATGTGTCGTTCACAGGCGGCCGGGTGCTCACACTCACAGTGGTGTTCAGGCGTTGCTGGACTCGGGTAGTGTTGATCCGGCTCCGAGGCCAAATCGAGCAGTCAAGACATGGCCTTCGAGCAGTAAAAGCGCGCGTGGTCGCAACAGTCTCGGTTCTTATCGCAAATCCAATGCAACATTATCCAGTTTGTCCTCGCTGCAACATGTAGGACATGGTGGAGGGAGGACGGGTGGAAGGATGAGGGTGGAGCTTGCATCGATGAACTTTCAAGGCTTATCGATGTTGCTGCGCTCTGCGTGCCTGGTGTTCACTAGCAAGAGCTCAGAGTCACATTGGTGCTGAGGCGTTGTTGGACTCAGGCAGTATTGATCCAGCTCAGGCCGAATCCAAGAGGTAAACAACTGTCTTGGAAGAAATGCGCGTGCGGTCGCAGCAGTCTCGATTCCCAGCGCAAATCAAATACAAACTCGTCCAGTGTGTCTCCTCTGCAACTTCAAGTTGGAGGGAGGAGTGGTGGAAGGATAAGGGTGGATCTTGGCGATGTTGTGCCCACAGGCATCTGGGTGCTCACTGTCACTGCGGTGCTCAGGCGCTGCTGCGCCCAAGTAGCACTGATTGTATTTCGGTGCAACCAGCTCCACATCACAACGACACCGATCGAAGCCCCTCCTCATGCCACAACAGCGTGTGGATGCATCGTAGCCATTACTTCGGCTATGCTAAAAAAGGGCAAAACTTTAATCACGCCCATGTACTCTCAGTCTTCTCCTTTTCACCTGCCCTGCAGCGGTCACACTTGCAGAAGGTTGGGCCCCTCGCCAGGACAACGTTTGCATCCTCCTCTGAAGGGGAACGTTCGGGGGGACTGGCCCAAGGGGGGAAACATCGAGCTGGAATCGGCGACACACGACGGATATATTGGCGACGGGCCCCATAGCAAATCCGCACGTTCCTGGGCGGGGTGGCCTGGCGGGCCCTTGTCGGCGATGAATGGGGGATTGGGGGTCGATGCGGCCCCCCCGAGCATAACCGAGATGGGTCTTTGATCAACTCATCTTCTATATGGAAAATACCTTTTCGCGTGGGCTTATGGGCGGATTCGAACCGAGCGAGGAGGGCGAGGAAAAGGAGGGCGAGAAAGAAGGCGAGGAATGGGAGGGACCAGGAAGGGGAGGACGAGTTAAATTCCCATCCGAGAGCTTTGGGGAGGGGCTGCAGCATTCAAAACCCTACGGTGATCCTCGCCTAACCTTGCCCCTCCTCCTCCTCCTCCTGCCCGATCCGCCTGCTCGATCCTCCTTGACGTTGGCCCTGACGTTGCGCCCTGGCACACTCTCGCCTCGCGTTGCCCCCAACGCTGCCCCTCACGTTGCCACCGATCGGGGGCAACGTGAGGGGGCGACGTTAGGGGCAACGTCAGGCGAGGATCTGCTCGAGCAGATCCTCGCCTAACGTTGCCCCTGACGTTCCTGCTGCTCGATCCGCCTGCTCGATCCTCCCTCCCCCCCCCTTCCCCTTCCCCCTCCCTCCCCCTCCCCCCTCCTCCTCCTCCTCCTCCTCCTCCTCCTCCTCCTCCTCCTCCTCCTCCTCCTCCTCCTCCTCCTCCCCCCTCCTCCTCCTCCTCCTCCTCCTCCTCCTCCTCCTCCTCCTCCTCCTCCTCCTCCCTCCTCCTCCTCGCACCCGAAGGCAGGCGGGCCTCCCACGGGCCGCGGGGCGGCGCGCTCGGTCGGCGGGCGGCCCCGCGGAGGGGGGGGGGGGTCCTGGGCCTTCCACGCGGGCAGGCCCAGGGGCATGCGGTGCAGCCGCTGGTTGGAGAACACGAAGCGGGCCAGGTCCGTGCCCTCCTCTCGGGGGGGGGGGGGGGGCAGGCACGTCCGCGATCGCCTGCCTCTCTCTCTCGGGGGGGGGGGGGGAAGGCCGAGGGGGCAGGCCAGCAGAGGGCAGGGGGCATGGGACCACTGGCGGCGTGCACGAGGTGGGGAAGGGGGGGGGGGAAGCTTCGGGGAGCAAGGCTGCCTCTCAGGAGTCGCCGGCCTTGCATCCACAGGCAGGGCCCGCGCCCTGTAAACAGCAGGGGTGTTTCTGAGGAGCCGTTCCCCCTCCCCCTACCCTCCTCTGCGCGCGGCCGAAATCAACTCACGTCATTGTTTTTTTTTCCTGGCGCCTCCTGGCGCCGGGAAGCGCCCACCAGCTGCATGCAGCAGATTTCGGACTCCCCCTTTCCCGATCTTGCCCTTTCGTCCGGCCCGATCCTCCTGGGGTTAGGTCGGCCCCCCCTACAGGCGGATTCTGGAAGAACAAAGATAAACAGTCAAACAAGGCCCAAAACGACGACAACAATTGTCAAAACATCGTCCCCAGACGTTTTGTTGATGTTGTTGTTGAATCCTCCTCCTGCAGGGGGGCACGCCCGACTGACTTCTGGGGGTCCCTGATCCCTGACCGGTGCGGCGACCTCGGTTCCAGCGCCCTCACCGCACACGGCCCGCCGCCGCGCGATCCCGTTGGGACCCTGGAGGCCCGAGTCGCCGGAGGCATCCTTCGGGGGCGGCCAGGCGGGGGGCGCCCAAGAGGGGGTCGGGGCGCAAATCATGGCCGGCGGCATGTGAAACAAGACGTGGCGACATGAAATCTGGGGAAATGTCATGGCCCCGGTTATGATATCCCCACCCTAGTCAACTCCCCCCTTTCCTGCCGCCCCCGAATCCTCAGAGAACGACTCGAATCCCAAAACCGCGCGGTGATGTATGATGTTCCAACCTACTTCTCGGCTGGGTCACCAACAAACAATTTCAGAAAGTACTGAAAATTGAAGGTTTTCGCGTGTCGGAACCTGAGAGGCGATACTCGTTCGACAGTGTTTCGATACGGTTCAGGGTGCTCGGCGGATATATATATATATATATATATATAATATGTATATATCTATACACACACCTATTTATATATTTTTACAAGGCCGGGGACCCCGGAAAAGCGGCACACGGCGTCCCCCCCCCAAAAAAAAACGAATTTCGGCCTCCCCGAGCCTTTGGGGCGCTCCTGCAGAGTGCTCCGTGTCTGTCCTGCGAGTGCGACGCGGAAAAAAAAAACCCACGACGGCCAAAGAGGGCCCCGACGCACCCAAAGATCGGCCCAAGACGCCCAATCTGGGCCCAAGACTGCCCAAGACGCGTCCAAGACGCCCCCAGAGACCCCCAAGAGGCCCCCCGAGAGAGCCCCGAAAGGCTACAACTGTTGATTTCCCGGTGTGTTTTCGATGTGTTTGGCCTTTTCGCTTTTCCCGCTTCCCGACGCTCCACAATGGCCCAAGAGGCTCCGTAGATCGCCCCAATATTGCCCACAAGGCCCCCAAGAAGGCCCCAACACGGTCCAGGAGGGCTCCGAGACCGCCCAAGAGGCGCTCAAGACGGCCCAAGAGAGCGCCAAAACGGCCCCGAGAGAGACCCAAGAGGGCGCCCAAAAATTCAGAAACTAAATTTTCCGCCGCGAGAGGGCCCCAAGACGCCCGGAGAGAGCCCCGCGAGGCCCCAAAAGGCTCCCAAGAGGCCCCAAGGAGCCCCCAAGAGGCGCCTAAAAGATCCCACTAACCCCCAAACACCCCCCAAGAGGCTTCAAAACTGCCTCCCAGAGGGCCCCGAGAGGCGCGCCGCGAGATCCCAACACAGCGGTCTCCCCCTCTCATTATCCCTTCTCTTCGTCCTCGCCTTCTTCGTCGTCGTTGTCGTGTCAAATGGCGCAGCGAGGTCATGTTTCGTTCAAGCCACCGAAGGACCCAAGAGCTCCTCCTCCTCTTCCTCATTCCCTTCCTCTCCTACCTCCTCCTCCTCCTTCTCCTAGTTCCCCCGTGATGTTTCGCGTTCCGCCCGCCAAAGGTCTAGCAGAAGCAGCTCTCCTCACTCTCCCCAGTCTCTGCTGCGGATTTCTCCCGCGACGCCTCGGCTGTACCCCTGATATCCACATAATCTGTCCTCTTCATCCTCTTCCGCCTCTTCCAACTCCTCCTCTTCCTCCTCCTCCTTCTCCTCATCCTTTTCATGTTCCTCCTCCCGCCTCGACTGAGCTTCTCGCAACACTCAATACAAACCGTCGGGGCCACGACGCCATCTCATCCGGACGCGCTGTTGGATTCTCTCACCCTTTGCCGCTTGACTCGCAGAGAGGCCGAGCAGCGCCGCGCCGCGACGCCAGGGATGGGGAGAATGGGCAACAAAAAGAAGCGGAGAGAGGGGGGAGGAAGAGGAGGAGGAACAGGAGGAGGAGGAGGGGGAGGAGAAGGAGGAAAGGAAAAGAAAAAGGGAAGGAAGAAGAAGAGTTAACGGAAAGTAGTCTAATCCGCTTCGCCAGAGATATGCTCGCAACTCCGACCTCAGAAGCGCCTTGCTTCGCATCGGTCCCGCCGTTTCGCTTGAGACATGATCACAGCTCTGGGGCCCGAGACACTCTCAGTTGAGGTGTTCCAGCCACTGTCGCCTGAGACACTCTCGCAAGTCTCACTTCGGAGGTGCCTTGCACCATGGTGGTTCGGGCAGTTTCGCGTGCGACTTCTCGCAACTCTAAGTTCAATGATGCCCCGGACAGAGGTGTCCAGACCACTCCTCGCATGAAACTTCCTCGCGCGGCTGACTTCGGATATGCCCTCCCCTGGGCGGAGGTGTTCTGGCCATTTTCACCCAGGACGTCCTCGCAACACCGACCTCGGCGACGCAATGTCCCATGGTAGTCTGACCACGTTTGCCAGGGCCCCTCGCGCCTTTGAGTGGCGCGATGATATGAGCAACTGGTCAGGCCACCACCGCCTGATATACGCATGTGTATGCGCGCGCATAGTTACACTGACCATTTGCATAGACATGTACATATCCATACACACGTGTATATATATGTATATATGTACATATGTACTATGCATTCATAAACGCATGTGTGTGCGCATGCACGCACGCTCGCACTCCGCTAGCGTGCGAATTCCAAAGGACCAAGGTGCATGGCGCGCAGCGCCAATGCAGTCTTATATATATATATATATATATATATATATATATGGGATGTGGTCTCTAAGTACGATGGGAGCAACATAAGCGGTGATCCCGAAACCCAACCGACTCACCACACGGTGTGGTCACCGCGCCAGCTCGGGGCCCCCGATCCTCACCGGGCGTGCCGCCAGAAGTGGCACCAGGCCCAGCCCCCCCCTGACGAGCTCCTCCAGGGGGTCCCGACCTCCTCTCGTCGTGAAATAAGCAATGCACGGCGGAAGGTTTGTTTGCCACTTTGCTGGGGCTTCCAACTCCTCGGGATGACAAAGCGACCCTGGGGTAGGTGTCTTCTGCGGCAACTCATGGGAGCCTCCCATACCATCTTGTCGACTCTTGCGTATCGACGCTGGTCGACGCTAATCAACGCTAATCAACTCTAGTCGACGCTAAATCGGCGCTATCTCATAGATTACCAGGCGCTAAGCGACGCTAGTGCCCTCTAGACAGAATCCTGCGGGTATACAGGGCTCCCATGATTATGATGTAGGGCTCCCATGATTTTGAAGCCACATTATATAAGAATCAAGACGTTGGATGTCTGGGGATATCCGAATGGTCTCCACAGAGCACCTCTCGCAAGGCTTTGTGTTGCGAAGAAAGCCGCGGGCACCCTGGCAAACCCCGATCCTCTGGGGGTGCCTTCTCACCGGCCGGCTGCGCCGCGTAGAACGCCCTCAGAGCCGCCGCCTGCTGCCGCCAAGCCGCGTCCCTCTTCCGGACCTCGTCCTCTGGCAGCGCGCAAGGGGTGACCCTATAGGCAAGAGCGACCTTTCCTGTGCGGCTGCACGGGGCCAGGGGGGGTGCCACATCCGAAGCGGCTGGGGGTCCCGCACCAATTGTCACTCTGCGCCAGGGCCACTCTTCCGCAAGCCGAGTCCTCCGACTCCGCGGTCTCGCCGCCCGACCTCAGGCAGTAGTCGAGGAGCGCGAGGCCCAGGGCACCCCCGACAACCAGCTCGAAGGAGATGCTCGCCCCCAGCGTCTTCAGATACCTGGACCCGCCTCGGGGATGTGGGCCAATGCTAGCCTGGGTCCGTGACCCGATGCCCCCGCTGGCCACACAGTAGCTTCCGCCCCCCAGGCCACCGCACCCAGACCTCCTCGCGTCGTGACAAAAAAACGGCGGCCGATGTTTCGCCATGCTCGGCCTGCCCCTCGCAGGGCCCCAGGGCCGTGAAATTATCCTGGCGAAGGACCCAGCCAGATGCTGTTGTGAACACCGCGATGTTGTTCCTGTTTCGGTGGAGCTCCCTATGGTGCCACGAAGCGCGCGAGGGGTGTCCCGAAATTGTGGTGGGGTGACGAAATGGGGCAGGAAGAACGCATGTGGACCCTCCCGCTGGAGCCTTCGGTGGAGCTCCCTATCGGCCACGATACGCTGTACTGGGTGGCCGAGACGCATGTGGACCTCGCCGCTGGGGCCTTCGGTGGTGCTCCCTATGCGCCAAGTAACGCTGCACTGAGTGGCGGGGACGCATGTTGACCCTGCCACTGGGGCCTTCGGTGAAGCTTCCTATGTGGGCACGAAACGCTGCACTGAGTGGCGGAGACGCATGCTGACCCTGCCACTGGGGCCTTCGGTGAAGCTCCGTATGTGGGCACGAAGCGCTGCACTGGGCGGTGGAGACGCAGTGGACCCTGACACTGGGGCCTTCGGTGGAGCTCCCTATGGAAGAACAGGACCCGAAAGGGGCCGCTTAGGGCCCTTTTTGGGCCACTGCTGGCTCCAGAAGGGGCCTGAACTGAAGGACCTCTTTTATGCACCGTTTCTTCACTCCCCATTTACGCGGGCAATATTTCTACTCCAGGTTTCGTAAGAAAGGGAGGGGGGTCTCATTTCGGGGGGGGTCTCTTCCAGGCTATCTTGGAGGGCCTGGGGGGTCTGGGGACGATGTTTTGGAGGGTTCTCCCACGGGGGAGGTCTGAAATGGCTTGTCTTGGAGGGTCCAGACCCCCTCCCTTTTATTACGAAATCTGGAGTATCCATATCCAGTGCGTTTTGGACTTTCTTGGAAGGGGCGCCGCAAGGCCGAGGCGCACTGGATATGGCTAAAAGTCGAGCCTCTAGGGGCTAGATTTTATCCATATCCAGTGCACTTCTGGTTTCTGGTTCTTGGGAAGGGAGCCCGAAACTCCAAGCCGCAATTTCCCCCCCCATTACCACTTGGGGGCGTCCAAGCGGGGAGGCGTCCAAGAGGAGGGGGGGCACAAATCATGGCCGGCGGCATGTGCGCGGCCCAATGGGCAAGGTTGCGGCAAGGGGGGGGGCGTGGACATATTCAACTACGAAAAGACGCCATGAAATCTGGGAAGATACCATGGTCCTCGCCATGATATACACTCCCCCTAGTCCCTAGTCATCACCCCCCTTTTGGCAGCCCCCATTTGGGGAAACCAAAAGGCACCGTTACCATTACTCCCCGGGCCTCTCCAAGGGTGCGTAGTAACCAAGATTTCGAGGCGAATCCAGCCGTAGCGATGAGGGTCTCCAATGAGGCCCAAAAAGGGGAAAATGGGCGAAGGTTAGCGGTATGGTAATTAAGGCGAAGCCAGGAAGAGAACATCGGGTGAGGACAAACACATCGAGAATCTCTGAGATCTGCCGGGTCTGGAGGATGTCTCGGGCGCCGCGGCCTCCTCAGAGCCTTCCAAAGCGATCTGAGAACGTTCCAGTACGGTCTGGAACGGATTTATCCTCGTCTTAGCCCGGTCCGATATGGGCACCTTCTCCGCCTTCGAGTGATGTCTTGGCTCATGTTGCTCCCATCGTACTTGAGGACGAATCCCCAAAATGATCTCGAACACCCCGAAGAAGTAGCGAAACGGTGAAGAACGAGTATCGCCTCCCAGAGCCCGACACGTGAAACCCCTCCAGCTTGGGTGCATTCTTGGTGCTCGAAATTCTTTCTGGTGGTTCAGCCTGAAACAGGTGGGAACATAATACCTCTTTGAAGGGGCCCAGGGACACACAAATAAATAGACACAAATAACCGGATTCCCCATATTTTCCCATATTTGCTGGGTTCTTGTCTTCTCCCCACTTCCCATATGTTCGCATATCTTCCTGGGGATCGACGATGAATTTTCTGTGCGTTTTTACCTAACAGCGAAGACTGACAGGTTTCTAGTAGGGTCAAAAGAAAGCATCATGACGCCCCAATGGGGTCTGGGCGCGATCCGGGGGAGGGTGCCGGGGACTTTTTTAGCCAACAGTTACACACTTCGTGGTCTTCGAGGTCCCAGAACTCCATTCCTGGGCCACATTCTGAATGCCCGGAGCCAACTGTAAGCCACTTCGTGGTCTTCGAGTTCCCAGAACTCCATTCCCGGCCCACATTTTGAATGCCCGGAGCCAACTGTAGGCCATTTCGTGCTCTTCGAGTTCCTAGAACTCCATTCCCGGGCCACATTTTGAATGCCCGGAGCCAACTGTAGGCCACTTCGTGGCCTTCGAGTTCCCAGAAATTCATTCCTGGGCATGATTTTGAATGCCCGGAGCCAACTGTAGGCCTCTTCGTGTTCTTCGAATTCCCAGAACTTCATTCCCGGGCCACATTTTGAATGCTGAGGCAGGCTGATGCTGAGGCTGAGGCAGGCTGAGGCTGAGGCAGGCTGAGGCTGAGGCCGAGGCTGAAGGCAGACTGAGGCTGAGGCTGAAGCAGGCTGAGGCTGAGGCTGAGGCTGAGGCTGAGGCTGAGGCTGAGGCAGGCTGATGCTGAGGCAGGCTGAGGCTGAGGCAGGCTGAGGCTGAGGCAGGCTGAGGCTGAGGCCGAGGCTGAAGGCAGACTGAGGCTGAGGCTGAAGCAGGCTGAGGCTGAGGCTGAGGCAGGCTGAGGCTGAGGCTGAGGCAGGCTGAGGCTGAGGCAGGCTGAGGCTGAGGCTGAGGCTGATGCAGGCTGAGGCTGAGGCAGGCTGAGGCTGAGGCCGAGGCTGAAGGCAGACTGAGGCTGAGGCTGAAGCAGGCTGAGGCTGAGGCTGAGGCAGGCTGAGGCTGAGGCTGAGGCTGAGGCTGAGGCAGGCTGATGCTGAGGCAGGCTGAGGCTGAGGCTGAGGCTGATGCAGGCTGAGGCTGAGGCAGGCTGAGGCTGAGGCCGAGGCTGAAGGCAGACTGAGGCTGAGGCTGAAGCAGGCTGAGGCTGAGGCTGAGGCAGGCTGAGGCTGAGGCTGAGGCTGAGGCAGGCTGAGGCTGAGGCTGAGGCTGAGGCAGGCTGAGGCTGAGGCAGGCTGAGGCTGAGGCCGAGGCTGAAGGCAGACTGAGGCTGAGGCTGAAGCAGGCTGAGGCTGAGGCTGAGGCAGGCTGAGGCTGAGGCTGAGGCAGGCTGATGCTGAGGCAGGCTGAGGCTGAGGCTGAGGCTGATGCAGGCTGAGGCTGAGGCAGGCTGAGGCTGAGGCCGAGGCTGAAGGCAGACTGAGGCTGAGGCTGAAGCAGGCTGAGGCTGAGGCTGAGGCAGGCTGAGGCTGAGGCTGAGGCAGGCTGATGCTGAGGCAGGCTGAGGCTGAGGCTGAGGCTGAGGCAGGCTGAGGCTGAGGCAGGCTGAGGCTGAGGCCGAGGCTGAAGGCAGACTGAGGCTGAGGCTGAAGCAGGCTGAGGCTGAGGCTGAGGCAGGCTGAGGCTGAGGCTGAGGCAGGCTGATGCTGAGGCAGGCTGAGGCTGAGGCTGAGGCTGATGCAGGCTGAGGCTGAGGCAGGCTGAGGCTGAGGCCGAGGCTGAAGGCAGACTGAGGCTGAGGCTGAAGCAGGCTGAGGCTGAGGCTGAGGCAGGCTGAGGCTGAGGCTGAGGCAGGCTGATGCTGAGGCAGGCTGAGGCTGAGGCTGAGGCTGATGCAGGGTGAGGCTGAGGCAGCCTGAGGCTGAGGCCGAGGCTGAAGGCAGACTGATGTTGAGGCTGAAGCAGGCTGAGGCTGAGGCTGAGGCAGGCTGAGACTGAGGCAGGCTGAGGCTGAGGCTGAGGCAGGCTGAGGCTGAGGCTGAGGCAGGCTGAGGCTGAGGCTGTGGGCTGCGACTGCCTGTTGCCTCTGCGACTGCCATCGCGAATGCGACTACGACTGCGAGAACAGCAGAATTCTACAACAGGATTCTCATTCGAATCTTAAGTGGAATGCTTCCAGATATGCTCCTACACATCGCTGTTAGGTTGCTTTGCCGGAATAATTTCCCCTCCCGAGTCTTGGCCGCCCCCTCTCTGCGAGGCAGGGATTTATCCATATTCACCGCCTGGGAACCAACGCTCTGGTGCCCCAGCGGGCGGCGGATGTGGACATCTTCTGGCCCCCGGGGGCCCGAAGATGTCCGCATCCGCCGCCTGCCGAGGCCCCCGAGCATTGCATACCTCCAGGCGGTGGTCCTGCATGTACCTTCCCGCCTCGGACCCTCACCGCCCGCCCCGCTCGGCCCGACTTGCGTGAGGCCCGGGCCGCCGTGAGCGGCCTCGGCCTCGGCGCCCTGGCCGGGGCCGTGCCGCGCGGCGCCCGGCCCGCCCGCGGCGCGGCGCGCGGGGCGCGGCGCTCGGAGCAGGGAGGCGCCGCGGGCCGCGCGCCGGGCGAACATGGCGCGCGCGGCTCGCGGATCCGCTCGGCTGCGGCGCGCTGCGACGCCGAGGAGCATCCGAACGGGGTCGCGCGGCGTCGGCACGCGCCAAGGGGTCTTTGGCACCGCGTCGATCGTTCAGCCTTGGATCGAACGCGGCCCCGGTCGTTCAGAGCTGGATTCCGTCGGGTCCAACGGCGTGACCGTGTCCCTCGGCGCTTCCGCGTCGCAGAATTCACCCTTGAACGCCTTCGCTGGCGTCGCCGGCGCGCCAACGCCGCATGAACCTTTCGTACTGGTACTATGTCTCCTCCTGGGAGGTTTCGTCCGACTGGAACATGTGGTACAACCATCTTGTAGTATATCGTTCCCAGGCGGTATGGCGGGCAGGAGGCGACGGGCGCGGCAGTGAGGAAGGGTGGTGTGGGGGAGAGAGGGGCAGGATGGGGCGCAGAAGGGCATACTGGTACCATGTGTCCTCCCTGGGATGCGCGCGTCCGACCCGAGCATATGCTGCAACCATCTTGTAATGCATCGTTTCCCGAGCGGTATGGCCAGAGAGCAGAAAAGCGCCCGCCACGGAGCTCACACCATGAAACTTCTCGGCGCGCGCGTCGCCCCGGTGGGGGGGCGACGCACACAGAGTGTTCATATGTCGGGGTGGCGCCGAGCGGCGGTTCACCGATGATTTTGTGGCCACTCGTGGGAGCCTGCGCGTTACGCGTGGCCATCTGTGGCCATTCGCGGTTTGCTTGCTTCTCCTGGTCGTTCCACTACCGTTCCACTTCCGTTCCACGCCTGACTCGGGGCGCAGCGTATGGCCCACGCGCGAAGCGCGCCCCCATGGGCCTCGCGCCATCACAGCACACCGGCCGCGGGGGCACGAAAGCAACGCGGCAGTGGCACGGAAATGGCACGCACTCGGACGCTGTAAAAGAGCTTATATGAAGGCTCCCTTGAGCAACTACGCAGCGATGGGGCCCTGAGGGACAGGATCCCCAGGGCAGGAAGGGGCCCCACGTTGAATTCATAGCGGATGATGCACCTCGTCCTAGGGGCCCCGTCCCTCCGGCCGCGCGCCAGGCGAGCATATCGCGTCCAACGCGCGGGTGAGCGCGGATTTCCCGGATCTGCGCTGGAAGCGCCGCCGGGGGGGTCCAGCGCCGACCCAAGAAGTCCGCGCGGACCTCCGGCAGCTCATGCGCTTGCGTTTTGTCCTTCTTCGATTCTGAGATGGGGCCGTAAGGATGGGAGGGACGGGGGTGGCCCCTCGTCCTCGGGCCCCGTCCCTCAGGGCAGCATGTCTTTGGCAACTCACACGAGCCTCCCATGCCATCTTGCTGGCTCTTGCGAGTCGACGCTGATCGACGCGAAGTCGGCGCTTTCTCACCGATGGCCAAGCGCTGGCGCACGCTGGTGCACTCTAGAGACGGACCTTCGAAAACCCGCGAGGCCCCCCTGTGACCTGCTGCCGGAAGAGGCAGGGCCCGAAAACCTCGGACCCAAACGGCTGCTGCGGCGGGTTCTGGGGACACCGAAAGGTACCGATACCGAGACCTCCCGGACCTCTCCTGGGGTGTGTTCTGACCAGGATTTCGAGGCGAATCCAGCGGTGGTGACGAAGGAGGCCCCGGGAGGCCCAAAAATGGGACTATGGGTACCTCTCCGTCCTCCGAGGTTCGCTTCGTGACGACCCGAGCGTTGGTTTCTGACACAGCGCGCATCGCTCGGCCCTGAACGATCGCGACTTCCAGAAAGCGCAGGTCGCTCGACATCGGCCGATTCCGGACCCCCGGCGGCGCTCATTCTTGAATGCCCGCGCTGTGGGTCGTTGCCGCGTCGGCACAACGGGAAAGGGTGTGGTCCTGCCTTGGCGGCGCGGGCTCTGGCTTCGGTCGCGTCGCGTGAGCCGCTCGATCTGGGGCGATCCCCTGCCTCGGAGGTCCAGGTGTGACTATCTACCAAACCATCCCAACCCGAAGACGCAAATTCCCGGTCGGGTGGGGGGGTACGGGTCCCATGCGTTTCATCTATGTTCCCCGACGCCATCCCAGACTGGGAATGGAGGGCAAATTGGGGCCTTCGGGTTGGGTTGGGGTAGTCTGGTGGGTGGTGAGGAACCCAGACCCCCGACATCAGGACTCTTTCACAACGTCAACCTCCAAAGGTCTGGACCCCTTCCCCGGGGGACCGGTTCTTTGTCCTGAATTGTTTTTTGACGGTCACGGGGCCCGGCGAGGGCCTCGAAGCCCGAAGACAGCGAAAAACCTCCCGTTCTGATTTTTTCACAACGCGAGGGGGTCTGGGTTTTGTGCGGATTTCGCGCCGCGGGTTGTGCCCTGTGGGCGACGGGACTTCAAAACATGGAGCGCCCGCGCTGGCTGAACGCCGCCGCGTGGCGCCGGCGCGGGCCTGCCGCAGATGCACTCAGCCCGTATATAAGAAGGACGCACGAAGAGGATGCAAGAGGGCACTGGGAGGCCGTGCCGGCACTTTGCGGGCGGAGCGCAGCCACCGAAAGCGGCCACGGAGGGGCCGAAGAGAAGGATGCAAGGGTGCCCTCGGAAAGTTGCTTATCCTTACTGAGCGGGTCGACTGTATGGAGGATGACTGTGCCGAAGCCGTGCGCTGTCTGGGCAGTGCATAGCTCAACGGGCAAACTCTGGGCGAAGACACCATGGCTGGAGCTCGACCGCGACCCCCGCCATCCACCTAGCATGCTGAATGCAGGCATGAGCGAGAGTTGATAAGAGCAGCCTTCTAGCAGAAGAGAAAGAGACGTGAAGTAGGACGAGCACTCCCCCTCTCCTCAATTATTTTCCCTACCTCAGCTCCAGTCGAGGGGGACCCAAACATCTGAAGTTTCTTTTGCTTCTTCCAAGGGACCAGCCTTGCATCCTGAGTAGTTTTGGGACAGCCCTGGGGCCTAGCAAAGGCCAAAGAGGGCCTAACAAAACAATTAGCCTGGCGAAGGACCCAACCAGATGCAGCTGTGAATGCCGCAGTCGTGAATATCGTCTTCGGTGGAGTTCCCTTATGAGGGCCACGAAACGTGTGAGGGGCGTGCCAAACTGGGATGGCGGCGGCATGCGGGCGCTGCCACTGGTGCCTTTGGTGGAGCTCCTTCTGATGCCTTCGGTGGAGCTCCCGATGGGGGCCACGAAACGTTTGGAAGGTGTGCCGAGGTGGGCGCGGCGAGCGCATGCGGGCGCTGCCTTTTTGCCCTTCAGTGGAGCTCCCTATGGGGGCTACGAAACGTGTGAGGGGGTGTGCCGAAATGGGTGAGGCGGGCGCATGCTAGCGTAGCCGCTGGGGCCTTCGGTGGAGCCCCTTATGGGGTCACGGAGCGAGTGAAGGGTGGAGCTCATCCATGGGGGCCACGAAGCGTGTGAGGGGTGTGCCGAGGCGGGTGTGGCGGGCGCATGCGGGCGCTGCCTTTTGGGCCTTCGGTGGAGCTCCCTATGAGGGCCACGAAACATGTGAGGGGTGAGCCGAACTGGGTGCGGCCTGCGCATGCGAGCGTAGCCGTAGCCGCTGGGGACCTCGGTGGAGCTTCCAATGGGGCCACGAAGCGTGTGAAGGGTGTGCCGAGGTGGGCGCGGCGAGCGCATGCGGGCGCTGCCTTTTTGCCCTTCAGTGGAGCCCCCTACGGGGGCTACGAAACGTGTGAGGGGGTGTGCCGAAATGGGTGAGGCGGGCGCATGCTAGCGTAGCCGCTGGGGCCTTCGGTGGAGCCCCTTATGGGGTCACGGAGCGAGTGAAGGGTGGAGTTCATCCATGGGGGCCACGAAGCGTGTGAGGGGTGTGCCGAGGCGGGTGTGGCGGGCGCATGCGGGCGCTGCCTTTTGGGCCTTCGGTGGAGCTCCCTATGAGGGCCGCGAAACATGTGAGGGGTGAGCCGAACTGGGTGCGGCCTGCGCATGCGAGCGTAGCCGTAGCCGCTGGGGACCTCGGTGGAGCTCCCATTGGGGCCACGAAGCGTGTGAAGGGTGTGCCGACATGGGTGCGGCGGGCGCATGCGGGCGCTGCCGCTGGGGCCTCCGGTGGAGCCCCCTACGGGGCCGCGAAACGTGTGAGGGGTGTGTCGAAATGGGTGCTGCGGGCGCTGCCTTCCTTCGGTGGGGATGCCTGTGAGGCCGCGAAACGTGTGAAGGGTGTGCGGACATGGGTGCGGCGGGCGCATGCGGGCGCTGCCTTTGAGGCCGCCTTCGGTGAAGCTCCCGAAACGTGTGAGGGGCGTGCCAGAATGGTTGACTGGTGCCATGCGAGCGCAGCCATTTGAGCCGCCTGATGATGATGATGCTGTTGCTGATGCTGCTGATCATGATGATGGTGATGATGACAATTGTGCTGATGCTGATGCTTATGCTGATCAGGATGATGAGGATGCTGCTGCTTTTGGTGATGATAATTATGCTGCTGTCGATGATGATGCTTATGATGATGATGATGATGATGATGATGATGATGATGATGATGATGATGCTGATTATGATTATGATTCTGATTATGATTATGATGATGATGATGATGATGATGATGATGATGATGATGATGATGATGATGACAAAAAAGGATCATAGTGAGGATGAAGCTGAGGATGATGATGATGATGATGATGATGATTCTGATGATGGCGATGATGACGAGGGTCATGATGACGATGGTAGTGGTGGTGGTAGTGGTGATGATGATGCTGATGATGATGACGACGACGACGATAAGGACGTGCGGAGTGCGGAGGGCAGAAGCAGGGATGGGATGAGGTAGGAGGGGGAGGAAGGAACGCGGGGCGCTGTCTCTTCAAAGCGGGGACCCAACAACACAGGATGATTGGGGAAAGTAAGCCATCGTTTAGTTCACGGCACGAGAAGGTCATAGTAAGAAGTAACATGAGACAAGGAGAAGACACTTCCCTTCGGACCGAGGTCTTCCGCGTTGCCATGGGAGTACAAGATGACGCGGTCGGTGCCAGCTGTGCGCGGCCGGCAGTCGCGGAAGAAATAATGGAACAACTATACAGGTCCACCTCCTTCCTCATCCCTCCCCCCTCCTCCTCCTCCTCCTCCTCCTCCTCCTCCTCCTCCTCCTCTTCCTCCTATTTGGTGTTCCACCTTCCTGAGACAGGGGAGAGGGAGGGACGGTGTGCATCTATATAGTTGTTCTCCTCTGCGGCCTGGAGGGGCACAGATGAGGAGAGGAG